CTCCACCCACCCACAAACCCACACACACAACCTTGACCTCGTAATCTTGGAATTGGCCTTACAAACACCAGGTAAAAATTGACTCTGACAGGTGAACAATAGCTGACTCGCAAGCCAACAATACCTTGCCAAACAGTCGGGCAGGTAAACCTTTTTTTTTTTTACCTTTTTTAATACGTAAAACAACATTTGTCTTTTATTTACGTACGGGAATTGTTTTTTTGTATATATTTGTTTTTATCTGTTACTGAAGACTATTCCATTCATCAGTATTCAATTCATACAAATAAATAAAAGTTACGCTTATATTAATATCTACTTGCGATAAAATAAATGTCAAATAATAGTCACAAATATACGAATATATACACAGCTTAACATACATCATACTTAATATATACATAAACACGTGATTGAGTCGAGATGTATACATAAGGACCCTCAAAAATACCATACCTGTGTTAATTAATATACCTTACCTGTGTTAACTAATATACTTTACCTGTGTTAATTAATATACCATACCTGTGTTAATTAATATACCTTACCTGTGTTAACTAATATACCTTACCTGTGTTAATTAATATACCATACCTGTGTTAATTAATATACCATACCTGTGTTAACTAATATACCTTACCTGTGTTAATTAACTTCCCATGGAATTAAGAGTACTCATGAACTCACGTGGGGAGCAGTACTAAATCTGAGTCTTAATATATAGAGGCAAAATAAGATGGGTGGTAATATGTACTCTGAAGACCTAGTAATCTCTCTCTCTCTCTCTCTCTCTCTCTCTCTCTCTCTCTCTCATAAAAAATAAATAAATAAATAAAAAAAAAAAAAAATCAGAAGCAGGAAGTCAAACCTACCTGCCTACCCTGGCGAAGTATTAAGGTAATATGTAGTGGGAGGACGTTCGCCAAGGCCGGCTAACGAGCGCCCGACTCACGCACCCCCACACATTATAACCCACTAACACCATAATGTTATTTTTAGATTAAAATGTCCCAGCCGACGAACGTCTTGCATAGGAGACCTGAGCAATGAGTCTCCTCTACATAGGAGACCAATTAACTACACTGCATGGGAGGACTGATCAATGAATCTCCTGTGCATGGGAGGACAATTAACTACACTGCATGGGAGACCTGATCAATGAATCTCCTGTGCATGGGAGACCAATTAACTACACTGCATGGGAGACCTGATCAATGAATCTCCTGTGCATGGGAGACCAATTAACTACACTGCATGGGAGACCTGATCAATGAATCTCCTCTAAATTGTAAAAATAGTATTTAGGATCATGAGTAATTATAGAAAGTAAACAAAATATATAAAGTATTGAAAAGTATGAAAGTATGAAAGTAAATGATAAAAAATACAAAAGTAAATATGATAAGTAAAAAAGTATCTCGTAAATATAAAAAAATACAAAACCAGAAACATAAAGTACAAAAGTATTAAGAACATTTCAAATAAATACAAAAGTTTAAATGAAAATGCCGCAAAAAGTACAAAAGTAGAAAAGTTTGATAAGATGAAGTACATGAGTTAAAAAAGTTATAAATAGTTTAACTTTGACAAACTTTGCCCGCGAAACGTCACTATGGCAGGGTAAATAATTGAGCACGTGAAGGTATTACCGTAGTCACCGATAAAGACTGTCTCATGTCCCCGTTTTCTTTAACTCATAGCAACCTACCACCATACTAAGAACCTGGTAATAATGATAACAACAACAACAACAACAACAACAATAATAATAATAATAATAATAATAATAATAATAATAACAACTACAACAATAATAATAACAATAATAATAATAATAATGACAATATTACTACTACTATTAATACTACTACTATTAATACTACTACTTATAATAATACACAAGAAACAAAAACTGACTGAAGAGGACGAGATACAATTAAAAAAATGCTAATTTAATAATACATTTTGTTATTATAATTAACTTGCATTAAGACATAACAAGACAGGTATATTTACTGTATTTTTAATGTACTAATTAAACTACAGGTGTTCTTATTGTTTTTAAATATAGAAAATAATACAGATATTCTTACTTTTTTAAATATATAAAATTATAGACATTCTTACTTTTTTTTTTTTAAATATCGAAAATAAAAGACAAAATATTCTCCCTATCATTAATCCACAAAAAAAAATTATCACAGGTTCTTTAAAATCAAATATGTACCCTAACTTCACCACTACTACCACTACTACCACGACTACCACCACTACTACCACGACTACCACGACTACTCACTGGAATAAGATACTCCCCCATCACTGTGTTTTCCGCTGTGATTTGGGTTAGGGTGATTATTCTGTTTTTCATAAGTGTCCACCGTCTTTGTCATTTTGGGGGGAGCTCTTCCTATGTCGAGGGCGGGGAAGGGGGGGAGGAGGGGAACTGGGGCGGCACCTTCCGTCGTAATGGTGAAGGTTGGGGAGAAAGTTGGGGTGATAAGTGGGGTGTTGGGATGGTGGGGGGTTTGTTTATCTGTTGATGTCACTCACTGATCGGTTTGGAGGGGGAGTAGTGACTGAGGTATCGGTATTAAGAGTTTGGAGGGGTCACTCACTGATCGGCCCCAGTTATCGGGTTGATTTTTTTTTGGGGGGGGGTCACTCGTCAATCGGCACGTGGTAGTAACTCAAATATCACAATAACACTTTCGTTTAATATAGTAAAAGTTTATATATTTTTTACAAAGTATAAATCAGAATAAGAAAGATATATATATACTTTCTCTGTGCTTATTTCTTACTAACACACAAACAAACACACAAACAGGCCTTTGATTGTGACCAGAGTTTTCAAAATCCCACAAAAACGAGAATTTTATACTCAATTTGTCATTTCATTTCATTTTTTTTTTTCACTTCATCTCCATTTTTTCCTCTCATCTTCGGTCGTGGGTCACAAGTCTTGCCATCAACGCATAAATCCGGATATGTCGCTTTTTTTCTCTCCCCCGTTTTTGTAAGGGATTATTTAACACTGCAGAGAATAACAATAACATTCAGAGAGTTGGAGTTTAAAGAGAAAAATAAAATAAAATCGGTATAACTATGACAGATTTTTTGTTACAGTATTGAGAGAGTTTGACAGATTTTTAGTCTGGGTACAAATGCATTTTTCAAGCCAGATTTTTGTTCACAGATTTTGGTATATACACAGAAACACTTATAAAGAGGATTTTAGTATAATAACAATTACATAAACACTTAATAACAGATTTTAACAATGTACTAGTGCACTTAGTCACAGATTTTAGTAAAGTACACTTATTCGCACTTAAATATATATCAAAGAATAAAAATGAAACAGAATAACGTTAAAACACTTCACTTAGAAAATATATAAGTAGAGATTTTAAGTAGAAATAGTTACTTTTTATGGATAATTTAAAGGACAAGTTTAGTGGGTCTGAGATTAGTAATGGTAAGTGTGTGTGTGTGTGTGTGTGTACAAAGGACATAATTATCCACAACCATACACAAAACACACCTCCCTACCACGCCCCTTTATAGTTAGCCACGCCTCCTCACCACGCCCATTACGTCTTCTCTCGGCTATTGTCTTTCTCATCTACGAAAAATAATTCCCACGAGTATGAATATTTTCCCACGCTCTTGAATATTTTCCCACGCTCACAATTTTTTTCCCACGCTCACAAATGTTTTCCCACGCTTATGAAAATTTCCCTACACATCACCTCCCACAACCACACACACACACCAGTCAAACACTCCCCTCCCCCCCACGCCCACAACCTACCCACGACCGCGAAATGGAAGAGATAAAATGCATTTCCTTCGTCTAACAGCACAAGAGGTTCCCACGCGTGAGGGACTTGAAAAACCCATTGTGTGAGGCCATGCTGCTCGCCTGACTCACCAACAGATACAAGATAAATAAAAATAAAGAAGATAAAAGCCAAGAGGAGAGGCAGGTTACAAAGACAAGGGATGTTATTTTGAACAGCCAATCAATACAGGAGGAGGAGGAGGAGGAGGTGGAGGAGGAGGAGAGGAGGAGGAGGAGGAAGGAAGAAGGAGGAGGAGGAGGAGGAGGAGGAGGAGGAGGAGGAGGAGGAGGAGGAGGGAGGAGGAGGTGGAGGAGGAAGAGAGGAGGAGGAGGAGGAGGAGGAGGAGGAGGAGGAGGGAGGAGGAGGAGGAGGTGGAGGAGGTGGAGGAGAAGGAGGGAGGAGGAGGGAGGAGGAGGAGGAGGAGGAGGAGAAGGAGGAGAAAGGAGGAGGGAGGTGGAGGAGGTGGAGGAGGTGGAGGGAGGTGGAGGAGAGGAGGAGGGAGGAAGAGGAGGGAGGAGGAGGGAGGTGGAGGAGGGTGGAGGGAGAGGAGGAGAAGGAGGAGGGGAGGAGGGAGGGAGGAGGGAGGAGGAGGGAGGAGGAGGAGGAGGGAGGAGGAGGAGGAGGAGGAGGAGGAGGAGGGAGGAGGAGGAGGAGGAGGAGGGAGGAGGAGGGAGGAGGAGGGAGGAGGAGGAGGAGGAGGAGGAGGAGGAGGGCCCTACCATCAATAGGTAATCCAGGTTACTCTCTCAGAGATTACTCTCTCAGGGGGGGGATTACTTACCTAGTTTCCTTCTCTCCCCTTCATTCACATCAATTTTTTTCAGGCCTTCTTCTATCACTTATTTCTATCATCTCCTCCCTTCTGTTTCCCTCTTCTGCTTTCATCACCTCTTCCCCTCTTCCTTTCATTCTTGTCTCTTTTCTATGCCCTCCTTTCTCTGTCTCTCTCTCTGTCTCTGTTCTCTTCTACTTTCATCGTCACTTCCCCTCTCCCTCCACATTCCATCACTTCTTCCCCTCTCTGCTTTCACCCATCATTCTCTCGTACCCTCTCCTTCCCTCTCCATCCCTCTCTTTCCATCTTGCTGTTTTTCATGTCTCTCCCTTCCATCTCCTTTTCCATCTCCTCCTCTCCCTTTGTTTATCAATTTTTCTCCCTTTTTCTAACATTCTCTCCTTCTCTACATTGTCTTTCCCTCCATCTGTGTCTAACCTCCCTTCCCTCCCTTTCTCCCTCACTCGTAATTCACCAACACACTACCTCTCTATCTCCCTCCTTACCTCTTTCCCTCTCTCCCTCAATCATTCACCAACACACCAACTCCACCTCCCCCTTCCCTCCTTCCCTTCCCTCCCCCTCACCCTCCTCCCCCTCCCTCCCTCCCCGTCCCAGAATCTTAACTATGATAAAACTCAGAAACAAAACCCATGATGCGATATCTTGTGGGTCCTGTGCTGGATAACTTGATATCATGGGGCGTCATTGAGTTATGAAACTTGAACGAGACGGAAAGAATAGACTGTCTCTTGACGGGACAGTCTAGCCCAACCTGTCTACAGTCAGTCCATACGTGTCTTGATATGGGTGGATTTGACTGTCTCCTTCCAGTTGACAGTCTAGAAAAATTTGATTTCAGACTGAGTGGATAGACAGTCACACGGGGGATATCTTAATCCTACCTGTCTTATTCTATCTAACACACACACACACACAACCCTTCCCACACACACCCCCCACACCCCCCCCACACACACCCCCCCACACACACCCCCCCACACACACACACACCCTTCTCACATTATTCTCCTCACCTCTGACACACACCCCCCCACACACACAATTCATAACAACCACAAAATTCAATAATATCCTATTTCTTTTCACCAGCATCTAAAATTTTCGTGTTTTTTTGGCGACTGTGGAGAGAGCTAGGTGAGTGGGCGGTCGAGTGTCCTCTCTGTTGGCCTGATGGAAAGTGGGGTGGGTGGGTGGGTGGGGTGGGTGGGTGGGGCGGGTGGGGGTGGGTGAGGAGAGAAGATGATTTGTGAGAGAAAGTAGGGTAAAAGGTAAGGGGTGGGAAGATAGCTAACTGGGGAGGAGAGCTAACTGGGAGGAGAGCAACTGGGGAGGCTATCAAGCTTGGGAGAGAGCTGAGAGAAGTCCAGTGAACTCCCTAAACCGAGGTCAGCTGCAGGAAGGCACAAGGAAAATAGGTGATATATGGTATAAGTTTAGGGGCGGGAGAGGAAGGGAGAGGAAGGGAGAGGAAGGGAGAGGAAGGGAGAGGAAGGGAGAGGGAAGGGAGAGGGAGGAAGGGAGAGGAAGGGGAGGGAGAGGAAGAAATGATGGAGAAGGAGGGAAGGGAGTAAGGAGGGGGGGGGAGCTAAGTGGCGGCAAATTATGTACACAATCAAAGTATACACTACAACACATCACACACACATTAATTGGAGATTGGGGAGAGAACTTTAATCTCTCCACTACTAAATTCTGACCGTAGGGGAGGACCTGGCATTATGGCTGAGTTGGGGTAGGGCGGGGAGAGGTGGGGAGGAATGGTGAGAGGTGGGGAGGAATGGGGAGAGGTGGGGAGAGGAAGGTGAGTGTGGGGAGATAGAGAAAAAGAATTGGATTTCCCCTAGAGAATGTTAGGGATTAAGGCAGGATTAGAGGGGGTATGTGGGGGGTGGGAGGATAAGGTAGGAGGTGGGGAGGGTAAGGAAGGGGTGGGGAGGATAAGGTAGAGGGGTGGGGAGGGTAAGGAAGGGGTGGGGAGGGTAAGGTAGGGGTGGGGAGGATAAGGAAGGGGTGGGGAGGGGTGACAGGGGGGAGGGGTGACAGGGGGGAGGGGTGACAAAGGGGGAGGAATGACAAGGGGTGAGGAGGAGGAGTGTTAAGCAAGCGGTATTACCCGGTTTATGGCCCAGCAGAGAGAACTATTTCCCCTCTCTCTCTCTCTCTCTCTCCCTCTCCCTCTCCCTCTCTCTCTCTCTCTCTTGTTTATTTTCCTTGTATTTGTGTAAGTCTAATCTGCATAGTGGTGGTAGGAATGGTGGTAGGTGGTACGAATTGTGGTAGTGTTGGTGGTAGATGTGTAATAACGATGATTGTGGTAGAGGATGGTAGTAGTGGTTGTGGTTAGACCGTGTAATGATGATTGTAATGGTGGTAGGTATCGCAGTGATTGTGGTTGATGAGTAATAATAATCGTGGTAGCCTAGTAGGAACATCATGATTGTGGTAGTCCGGTGTATTACTTGATAATTGTGGTAGTGTGATGGTGGTAGTTGAGTGTTAAGATAGTGGTTGATGGAGAATGGTGGTAGGGTGCAATGACGATGGTGGTAGTTGAGGTTAAGCCGTGGTAAAGCTTGAGGGTTACTGAACGGCTTTAATTGATCTGACCCACCCACCCACCCACCCACACCCAAACAATGCTTTAACCCTTACATTATTCTCCTCACCACCCACCTTCCCCCACCCCATAACAACTCAACCCCGCCCACTCCAAATAAATCAACCGACCCGCCCCGCCCCGCCCCAACAAACTCTGCGACACCACCCACACCCATCTATCGCCTCTCCCACCCAAACTATGCAGATGCGTCCCTACTCGTCCCTCCTCGTTCAGCACAGCCTCATTCTGCCTCGCCCCCCTCCCCGCCTTACCTCCCTCAGCCCCTCCCACTCCGCCGCCCATAATCCATCCGCCACGCCCCGTTCCGTTCAGTTCCCTCCCCCTCTCCTTCTTCCGCGTCCCGTTCACCCCCCACCACCCCACCACATTCCACATGTCCCCTCACCCTCATTATCTCCCCACCTCTCCCTCTCTCCTCGTTTCCCCTCCTCCCTCTTCCTCGCTCCCCAACTCCC